CCAAAACAGTATTCTCCACAATAGCTGAGCGTTAAACAATCGCCGAAAATGGTGTTACGAATTTTGTGTGGAATAGTTAATTTTAGTACAATTCTAATTAAAAAAGTGTTGTATTTCTCCCGTGCAATGCAGCGCGAGATAAATTTTAAGAGAAGCTTTGCCGGAAAAGTAAGAATACATTGCCACGTGCATTTAACTATGAGTAAATGGATATCTCGGTAATTTGTATTGAAATTGAATAAATGTAACTGACTTCTATATTAGCTGTAACCGTAATTCCATCCTCTTGTTTACATTGTGTTTGGCGAATAGTATGGGTTACCACATCATATCTTTTATCGCCGCTCTTGGCGATATTTTTTGGTTAAAATTCTGGGTGGGCTATACTGAAGCTGTGCCATATTTTGTTATAAGCTATTCACTGTCACCTATCATTCCTTTATTTCATAAAAAAACTGGGAAGTAATGCTATTCGCAAAGCCTAATACACTGAACACGTGCCAACAGACTCGTTGAATTTCCTAATGAAAAGCGGTAAAACTTAGCTTTGAACTGATTTTACAATCCAATCTCTCCTGGACTACTAGAAACATCTATTACAAACAAATAACAAATGAAAAGCCGGGAAAATCAGTGATTTAGTGTTGGAAAATACATTTCCCGAGCGATGTGCGAGCAAATAAAATAAGTCCCTTTTCGTCGCAGCTGAACGGCGTCGGGTAAAATAGTTAAGTGGAAAACTGTGAAGAAGAGAAGTGCCTTAAAAGTTCATGACAAAGAAATTTCTAAATTAAGAATTATTATCCAAAGTAAAATCTGAGGAAAGGATGGCTTTCTAAAGGAACAGAGGGTTTTTTAAGAGAAATTAATATCTTGCTCATGTTGCACCTGAGAAAAACTATGAAAACTTTGGAATTATTAACTTTGCGGCCACCTGTGTACTGAAAGCAGTCTTTAAAAGAATTTTTATATTTATTCATCATGTAAAGATTATGTTAATTTTATTAACAGTTAAATTTTGAGTTAAACTTCAATTTTCCTATCGCTTCTTAATTTCAACTTACCACTTCCGGCCAGAACGCAGTTTTGGAATCACGTCTGAATGCTAATGAGGAAGAGCGGTATTTAACCGCGAAGTTCTACTGTGTTAGTGAGAGAGATACCAGATATTCTAGCTAGCACGCGTCCGCCTTTTTAGGCTACTCTCTCATAAGTTATTATTACGCTCGACCGCACTTTAGGCCCTTGATAGCTTCGCAATCAATTAGCGTTAAGAGGCCAACTCTGTTGTTAGAATTTTGATAGCTTCGGCTATATCTCTTTAGTTAAGATTAGTTTAGTTTAATTCTTAGTTTCTTAAGTTCAAGCCCCAGTGTCGGTTTTATTGTACTAATTCAAGACGGAGTTTTGTTAAACTTAGTTGGAATATTAAAGGGTTATTTCACTCTTCTGACTTGTTGTTTCCTACCTCACGAACTAAAGCGATTATTTGCTTACTAGTTCTTAAGATTCTTCACATTCATCTGTAACTTAGAAGTACACAGTGGGGAATCTTACTATCCTCAAACCTCTTTTTTGAGGCTGTTACATGTAAATGCTGTACGTAAGTAAATTATTCAAAATCAAGCCTTGGAAAAAGAAAAAAAATAATGAATTCTGATTTTAGTATTAGTTACTCATTTCTCAAAGAAACATCAAAAACATTTAAGTGCAATGCTGCACTGTTTTAGTTTTTACTATGGAAGTTAATCAAAGTGTAATGATTAAAAATATTTACAGGGTGGCACAGGAAAACGGGAACTATTGAAAAACCCAATAAAAATAGAAGAAATCCAACAAAAATGTTTTGTTGGCAGCAGTTAAACCACTACAACCTGTCTTTTAAGAGACAGTAATTCAAATGATCAAAGTCTGAAACTTAGGACCTGTAGGTAGAATGCTCCTGTACTTATTAATTTTTACAATTTTGCTGAGGTTCTTCACTGATCGCTGCAACATCTCGTTTGGAATACCACGAATTTCATCTTGAATTCTTTGTTCCAACTCATCCAGTGTCCTTGCCCGAATCGTGAGGACGCGACTTTTCAGGTAGCCCCACAAAAAGAAAGTCACAAATGGAGAAATCTTGTAGCCTTGCAAGCACTTCTGGGTCGTCCTGTCTGTTTATTTTTAGATCAAATCCAGTCTCTTCGAAGTTTTAATCTAAAATTTTTGCATATGTATCGAAGGAACTCGATCATAACTTGAAAAAACGCCGGAACTGCCTCTGCGCACAATATCATTCTTTCTGTAAAATAATTATATGGCGAGAGCACACTTGTTGACTGTTTGTAGTAATTACTTTTTTACCATTCATTGGGTCTTTACATAATCATTCATGGAGCATTAAATCCAGAGTTAAGTGATGATTCCCCTTCGTTAAAATCAATACACACAAATTTATTTACATACTAGCGGAAGTACCCGATGCCAATTAAGTTAGATGGAGAGTAATGCATTATTTTACTCACGACCTCATTTGAAAATTCGGATAATAGCATATTACATGTCAGAAGGAATATGATGCGGCATTGTAACTCATAACAAATGCCAAAGAAACAAAGTAATATTCAATACATGTACCACAACTGACTACGTAATCATAGAATCATATGGTATATATATCTATATGACATATATAATTGCCATTTGGGTTAGCATATATATCTATATGACATATATAATTGCCATTTGGGTTAGCAAAAATAAAAACAAATACATCATTATTTTGGACAAAATGAAACATTTTGAGCGATATGGAACCCACATAGAAATTTCAGTAGAAAAATAAACTAATTCTGTCTCATTATGGCAAGCAACAATCATTATGGCAAGCAATATCAGCAACAATGGCAAGCAACCATTGTTGCTGATATAAGCACTGTTACCAGTCGGAAAAGGGCGAAAATTCCTTTTAAGAGTCCATGTCCTTTTAAGGGTTTTAATTAATACCTATGATTTTAGCTACTTTTTTATGGAAAAAAGTGAATGTCCACCTTTTCCAGGACCCAGAAAAGAATTGAAGAAAGTTTACTGGTTATTAATTGACTGACTGGTTATTAATTAACTGACTGGTTATTAATTAATTGACTGGTTATTAATTAATTGACTGGTTAAAAATTAACTGAGTTATTAGCGAACAAACACACACACAGACTTTCTTCTTTATACATATATGAATAATACAATGGTTACAAGCATTATTATTAGGCTCATACCTTCGTTACTATTAGGCTTAACACTTTCGATCTTCCATGAAACTAAAGTTATAAAACATCAGAGATAGGAAGCTCGGAGCGCCACCTAACGGCGGGAGCTATCAATTCATAACACTGTTCCACTGATCCATGACTATTAAACGGCGAGATTGCTTACAGCTTAAAGTCCCTGTTCCGCAGTGCTTGTCAACTGCACATGGCTGCCACTACTCATTTCAAAAGTTCCTATTTTTCTGCGTCACCCTGTACTATGCTGCCTTACGGGAAGGTCCGAACCTTCTTGTTCCTTCCTCTACACGAAGTCTCTGTCTTTCAGGCGGTCTACTCTGTCTTTCAGGCGGAGCTCATAGCAATCAGAGCAGCTCTTCTCCACCTGAAGAATAATCACACAGTGACCAATATCATCTACACAAACTCAGCCTCAAGCCTCGCTGCGATAGCTGGAATTCGTTCTCGCAGTCCTATCGTCAGCAGCATTAGAGACATTCTAATACACATGCCTGCTTCGCAAAGACCCTCACTCATCTGGATGCCCGCTCATACGGGAATAGAAGGAAATGAGAGAGCAGATGTTGTCGCAGAGGAAGCAGCGGATTCATCCACTTTGCGAGAAGTCCCGACCCTTAGGTCAGTCTCGGAACTAAAGAGTCGGACATTCCATCAGCTCCTAAGAATACGGCAAGAACGTTGGAATCAAGCCTGCACAGGGAGACGTGTTTACAATCTCATTCCCAAGGTCAAGACAACAATCCAAACTAATAGCAATTACATGACGTATTTCCTCACTGGTCATGGGCCCTTTCCTTCATACCTCTGCTGCTTTGGCTTGAGAGAGAATGGTAACTGTGAATGTGGGGAGGAGGGTCATCCAGATCATTTTGTGTTGTCCTGCCCACACACAGCACTTAACAGCGTCAGGCAACCAGGAGCCAGATTCTGGCCAAATTGGTTCCAGAATCTACAAGTAACAGAGTTGCCCAGCGGAAACTGAAAACTATATTTGACTACTGTACTAGCAATTACTTTTCTGACACTGGAAGATAGTAGTCATAAAAGTCTATATAAGCTAACTCAATATGTCAGCAACAGAGTATGTGATATGTATGTTCAATATGTAATTTTGTATTTATGTTGTGCCAGGTTCTCATACATAAAGTTCGTACTGTATCTGAATGCTGTAATGTATCTGCACATGTTTATATCTTTTACTTATGGTACATAATTTATACTAAGGATCACGCGTACCTCAATGGCATGCTTCTTGTAAACTTTAACTATCATGATAACGTATATGTATGGGTGTATATATCAATATGAGCGAGAGTATGTATACTTTTATTTGTTCCGGTACATCTATGTATGTAAGTGTGTATACATCTGTATATGAGTTTGTATTTATATGTATATACATATATTTTGATTGTACTCTTTTTCAAGTGCCTTGTATGCACATGTATATATTTCTTTCTACATTGTTGTACTCTTCTTCAAGTGCCTTGTATGCATATGTATATCTCTTTTTTTGCATTTTATAAATGTCGTCTGCTCAGCCTGGGCTGCCCAGGGCTGCGGCCTGGTAGCTAGTGGTTGACTCCAGTCGAGTTGGTAACCAATTCTGCATGGATATATCTAAACCCGGGTTGGAAGCCAACTCGGCGGTTTACCTTACCTTCCTCTACACGACTATTCAGACAGAAATAGAAACTAAAATAGAGGAAGAAATAGGTTACTTCTTACACTTACTTGTTATGACAGAAATCTGTTTTCATAAACCGTATCCATGCAAACATAATACCATAGTGCAGAGCAATTGCTATGAAGAAATACGTCAAGAAGAGAGAAGCGAAAAGTCCCAAGGCAAGTACTCGTGCGGTGATCTCAAAGAATCGCCAAAGGGCCACAACAATGGTACTGCAAATAGACATGTTCTTTTTATGTTTCAACGATTTACGGTTTGCTCGTTCGAATGCAGCAAGACTTGAAGCCATAGCTATCACAGATACGAACATGGTGAATAATTGTAACAATTCTAGAAGAAAAAGTGAAGTTATTAATAAATAGAAGTACAAATTTAATAACTGCTAGTAAAATATCAGTGATATTTGGCTATTTAATATATAAGTGAAACTGTAACAAAAAGCAAAAATTTACGTCCGGGAATTTAATTTTACGAAAGAACTTTCTATTTTGAAGTAGATAAAATGCGCAGGTTTTGAATTTTACATGAATTATACAGTAAATAAATTATTTATCGAGATAAATAATTTATTTGCTACTGACAAATGCTTTAGAGAAAATGAGTTAAAAATTTTAAGTGGAGAAGAGTCCAGAAGAATGATTAGTTTAAAAGCAGAAGTTCATATTGATACGAATAGAACATTACAAAAATTTAAAAGAAAATTCTGATGGACTGTTTATAAAATAATTTTTCTGTTCTTATTTATTTCTGCTCTTATTATTTATTATTTTTCTGAGCATATTCGTTATTATTAAGAACATTACTTTTAATATATCCCTCAGGGATTCACTTCTTGTGAGTACGGGTGTGGCAATCCCCAGGTACCCTATCCCTTCAGGGGATCATTTTCTTGGTAAGATGGGTGCACGATCCTGGAGCCCCAGTGATTTTTTCTCTTTTCCATCTTCTCTCCTCTGAGCTGAAGCTTTTCCCCTTCCATTCTCCCTTGTGGTTTTCCTCTTAGGAGGTTGAGGCTCGTCATGAGAAACTGAAACAGCCCTTGTCTCTAGTTTTTGAGTGGCGAAAAAACTGCCCACGTGTGTGCAGTACGCGGAGACCCGTGTCGCTGGAAAGGAGGGTCCTGGTAATTGAGGGGCAAGGTACTGTCCCCAACACGCTGCTCTGCTTCAGCTAAATGGGGGGCACCTTGTCGTCCTCAAGGATGTCTATCGGCTTGTCACTAGTCTTTGTGTCAGAGTTTGCGGATAAGCTATCGGGAGTACCTGCTTTGGGGAAAGCCGACTGTGGGGCTTCAGATTGCGTATAGGTCCGTCTAGCCCTGACGCAGGAATCTGTGTTCCCTCGTTCGGCTCCATGGTGGGCGGGCAGTCGGACCCGAATCTTTTCGCTTTCGATCATGGCTTCTCTTTTCATCGTAAAAAAATCCGAGTCAAAGGAAAACAACCAAGATATTGAGATTATTGGCAAATCTGTTAACAAGAAAATCCGTACCGATGCAAATGCCAAAGAAACTATTGATTGTTCGCGCTTTCTTGTTGCTTCCAGTACCTCTGGAGAATTAGAAATGATGTCTTCTTTCCTGGTAAGCAAATACATTCATTTATGCATATGCATATGTGAGCCATGGAACGTAAAGCGTCTCCATTCTGGAGACCTGCTTATTGATACCGTTTCGGCCACCCAGTCTGCTTCACTTTTACGTCAAACCAAACTTGGACAAGTAACTATATCTGTGTCAGTGCACAAAACACTCAACATCTGTAGAAGCTTGAAATCGGAAATCGACCGTCTGTTTGTTTCAGAGACCAAAAGGTTTGTGCTGCTAAGCGGATCAAGATGCATAAGGAAGGTCAGTTGATTGACACAAAACACGTGATCCTGACCTTCAAATCGTTTGATCTGCAGAAGAATATAAAGGCTGGATATCTGAATTGCCCTATAAGATTTTATATTCCAAACCTTATGCGATACTTCCAGTGCCAGCGTTTCGGCCATTCCAAGATGTCCTGTCGTGGCAACCTGACGTGCGCTCGATGCTCGTTGGTTAGTCATGATAGTGATATTTACACCGCTGCGGCATTGTATATAAATTGCAAGGATAATCATCCAGCATTTTATCGTTCATGTCCAAAATGAAAAGCAGAAAAGGAAGTACAGACGGCAAAAGTTCCTAGGAATATCTGGTATGCTGAAGCCAGAAGGCTGGTTCAAAGTGCTCAGCTTCATTCATATATATGCTAGTGCCGTTAAATCAACTCGTACCATTGCCATCCAAACTTCCATAAATGCAAAGACCCAGCAGATTGCAAGCAAGGAAAAGGAAACTCCAATCCATGCCATACATACACACACACACACACACACACACACACACACAAAAAAAAAAAAAAAAAAAAAGCAATCCAAAAGTAAACCCAAAATTGTAAAGTATTGTCAATGCTCATCACCCTGTATGCTTGGCAATACCAGGAAACAAACCTGAAACCGGAACAAGAAGCAAAACTTTGGAGGTTTTCGTTTGTCAGGAAGATAATCTCGCAAGTGAACGTCCCAGTGGAGGTGTAAGTCTCCTCACCTCACTTGACTATCCATCACATACACATCTTTTGACGACATCCCTCCAAGTTGTAGCTAATACGAGTAAATTTTCATATTGTAGTTTCAGTTGAAAGAATGCCAGAAAAGATTTCTTTGTGGGGCATTCACGAATTAGACTTCATCCAATTAAGGTTTCAGAGTTTAGCTAGCTTTGTCCTGTTTCTTTTTGAATCAAATAAGTATGGAAATGATAAGCAAGACGAAGTGTTTATATTCTTTTTCATTAAATGTTTTTCACCTGGTCGTTTTACCTTACATGGCAAAATATATAAATCTGGACATAGGCTTCTGTACGTATTTTAGATGCAAATCAGGTATAAAAGTAGAAGAAAGTTTTGGTTTGCTCTCCTAGAAAACAAAAAGAGCATTTTCCGGGACTTGGGAAAAAAAAAAAAAAAAAAAAAAAAAAAAAAAAGGGAGAAGGAGTATTTTTCCAGAAATAAACTCTTTTTTAAATTGTAGAGTGAAGCTGGAAGACATAAAAAAAGAGCAGTTGCCTTTGCCGGGTCTCGAAGCCTGGACCTCTTGAACACGCGCCGAGTGTGCTACTGTTACACCACGAAAGCATGCAAAAAAGGAGGGAGAAAATACATTATATACTCCCACTTTTAAAGGGCGATTGAGGATTAGGGGACCCAACCGCCAAATTCTGGTGTTGAAGAGTCATCATCCACCACCTTTTAGTTCGGGCGCCATTGTAAAGTAACTTCGAATTTTTCAATGCCAGAAAACTGAAGAAATCCGCAATGTCTCCGCCGAGACTCGAATCTGGATCTCTCAAATACGCGCCGAATGTGCTAACTGTTGTACGACGAAAACATGCTGGAAGGAGGAAGAAAATACCTTATAAAATCAAAGTTCTGTTTAAAAGCTTTCATTAAATCTTTAGCTATTCCCTTCACATTTTAATGCAAATCTTCATTGAAGAAACTTGTGAGAATTTAGACACAAAACTACTGAATTTTTTATTGTTAATTGATAGAAGCATAGCGAATATTTTACTAATTAAACTCTTCTATATCCACATAAAAAGGTTTTTTTTTTTTTTTTTTTTTTTTTTTTTTGCAGAAATCTCTTTACAGAGTTCAAATAACTTTACTAAAACTCTGCATGTTGTTTTAGGGGATTTTGCAGAGTCGGAATTATATAACTAGGATCAAAATTTCAAGGAAGAACGCCTGTACCCATTTGTTTTCCCGAGCGCACTAATACATTGCAAAGGCTCTAAATTTCACAAATAAATCTCACTTACTTTGTAATGTTAAATTGTATAGCTTTCAAAATATTTAGTATTGAAAGCATTTCACCTGATGGACAGGAATCGTAATGATTGCAACGGAATTTCTTCAACTTGTAGGGTTTATATTTATTTTAACTAACATTTATTTTAAGTTTAAACTATCTTTCCTGTCAAGCCTTACTTTCCCCTGGAACTGCCAATGCCAGAATATGTAAATTTGAGTAGAACGCGCAAGGATTCAAATTATCAGCGGAAGTATTCTGATTTTAAATAGAAGGAAACGAGTTCGGTGTGTGATATTCTTACTTCACGAGCGCGGAGGTAGTTAGCGAGAAATTGAAGAACCCCGCGTTTCGGCCTGTGTGCTTGGCGGGAAGTAGTGTTAATCGTTTCAAGTGAGCTTCAAGTCTTGCTGAATTAGCAGCGGTATTGTAAAAACGCGGTGAGTTAGTTAGTTATTTTAGAGAGCCTCGTAGTTAGAATCTTGTCTTTAGTTTCTTTTCAGGTTATTATTTTTATTTGACCGCCGAGTTGGCGTAGTTTGTGAGCGTCAAGAGCACGCAATTGTAATTTATTACGTTGAATAAAAAGGGACTTAAACCCTTCACAAGACTCTGTCTTTTATCCAGTTTCCACAGTCACCTCTTGGTTGCGTGCAAGTTGGAGGCGCGCAACGTTACATTGGCGCCCGAACACTTATCGAACTGAAATGGCCGAAAATTGGATGGAAGCCGCTGGACAACACCAAGAAATGACAAGCCAATTAGGAAGGATTTGGATACCTGGTCCAGACTTTGAGAGCGTCAATCAAGCCAAACGTCAATTTCGACGGAAAAAATTCGGTGGCGATATTTCTAGAAGGTCCTAGAAAACCACTTTCAGCTCTACCCTGTGCCTGAAAGACAAAAAGTTGCCATCGCCACATCAGCACTAACTAAGAGGACAGGCCGCGCTATGGTGGAAAAATATAGGCAAATTTTTATTAGGGGAATTTGGAAGCCAGACATATACATTTGAAAATTTCAAAAAATCGTTAGTAAAGGCCTTCCCCATAGTGAAAGATCGCGCAGCAAGGCTGGAAGCCGAACTATATAGTTTCTATCAACGGGATATAGCAAGAATTGACGGACTTTATTCTGCGAAAAATTAAGCTAACGGATATGCTGTATGGGAAAGAAACCCGATGCGGAGATTATTGAAATAATCTTACCAAGATTGTTACCCGCTGTTCAAGACTACTTCGAAATTAGAAACCCAAGCACATTGCAGGAACTCTTCGAATTGGCGGTGAAGTTTCAAAATCGCAGAATAGCGGAAAAAGCGAGAGGGGCCAACGTATTCTCAAAGTACCCGAAGGAAATCTTCAAATGAGGAAACCAGAAATGGAAATCGCTCTTATGGGGGAAAGAGCTATCAAGCTAACTCATCGAAACTCGAAGGTCAAGGCCCAAAAAGAAAATTTGAAAATAAACATCCGCGTACCCAGAAGACA